ATGCAAAGAATTTTTCTCGGTAAAAAATAAACTAAGAGAAAAACAGAAAACGGAGAAATTGAATAATCAGATACTATAAGAATTTACAAAAAGTCAGATTAGTGAAAGAAATAACAACGAATGTACGATTTTTAAAGTAAATTTTGAAAAGGGGTCATTTGACCTCGCTTGGTACGTTTAGTGTTAATAACGAAAATAAAATATGAAAGTTTCTAGTCGAATTTCTGCATTCTATTAGAATTCATCGTTGCATTGATCTAAGCAAAATTTCATTCTTCAAATCTATTTTTGAAGGAAGTTTTTTTTTTTAATATTCGATAGTAAAGACATTAATAAATACATTAGAACTTCTTGATACGAACGATTCAATTTATCTATGGTCTGATATACAATGTCAATAGAGAAACACGAAACTAAGGAGAAGAATGAGATGATTAGATAATTTAACACGACCTTCTTCTTTTATTTTACAACGTGTAAAATAATAATAACGATAGATCCATAGTTGTAGATTAAGTTCTCGGCACGCGTACCTGTTTGATTTTTTTACAATATGCATGCAGCATATATTTAAAATACGTGGGGAAATTTGTACGTTACGCGTAGATTAAACTTCTAGATAAAACAAACGTTCAGGACGCGTTCATCTTTTGGACCGAGAATTATTTTTCACTTCGTAAAAAAAGCGAGCGAGGGTTAAGTGTCTGCTCTTGTGCCGATTAGCATATATGAACACGCCATCTCGTATACATTTAGGATAGCTGTAGTATAATGTTACATGTGTCTTTTCGTACCGAGACAAGCATCAGAAAATTGTCGACAGGTGGTAGAAAACCAAGTGGTGGTTTTGGTACCAAACGTTGCATCTTACCTTCGCCGTTGCGTGATATTGCTTTACGTGATAACTTGTCGAATAGTTGAACAGTATAATTAATTAAAACATTATAATCAACGCTGTTAATTATAATGTTTTATGATTAGCATGTTGTAAAATAAATCTGTTACCAGTTACCAGTCTGTTAGAAAATAATGAACGTTTTCATCGAGATATTGTAATTATTGAAAGAGCATTGCTAATATTTTGTTGTGTAGTAGTACTCTCTGATTGAAGAAATTCATTTCTTTAAAATAGTTTTAGATTTGCACAAACTCTATCGTTCAAATACCACAAGTGCAATAAAATTTAAAATTGATATTAAACGATTTCACATTACACATTGTTGTTTTAACATTCTTCGATTAGTCATAATAGATATTTATTATGACAATATTATTACAATACTATTGTCAAATTCAAATACTAAAGTGGATCAGTTTTATGATAGAAGTAACGTATAATTATTATTTGAAACACGTTCAGTATAACGTAGCGACGAAAGACATAACAGGATGATAATGCACATAAAATATCATAAGATTTGCATATATATAATTCATAAAGTATATGGTGGTTTTATTGTTCTGTCGTCGTTAATCATATGAATGATTGCTGCTCTATGAACACGAGGTCTAACACAGATATTTAAATTCGTACATCTATAAACACGTAACATCATATTTTATAACTTGATCATTGTGTAATTATATTCAGACCGACACGATACGATACGTTTAATTAGCCAGATAATTTTTAATTACTGTGACTAATCGTTTAAATCATCATTGATAATGATGGGCTTGTCAGTTTCCCTGTGATGTTTCTTGATCATTGATTTCTTAGGAATACATATTAGTCTCAAAAGCGTATTGTACAAAGCACAAAGCGTTGCTCATTAATTTCAATGAATATTTAACAAATTAGGCAAAGGTATATATATATTTGGCAAATGTCTGATATTTGTTCTGTTTTTTCTTTCTTTCTAATTTCTATCTTTAATTGCTCCGCTATGTGCCTTTTAAATATCACACGTCATATGTTAATGTAGTCGAATTTTTCAAGTTTTCTGTTCTCGCGAAATCTGATATATGTATATTCTTTTTTATCCGCACTCCCATGATCTCGTTATGCAAGTGAGTATCAGCGAGTATCGACGAACACCGCGAACATCTTGAATATCGGTTTACGTAGATCGCGAAATGTGAAAGACGCGTTTGCGATGAAAAGTTGTCACAGTCGGTTAATCTACGACGGAAGGGGTAAAACTTGGTTGACAAGACGCGGGGGTGAGCGCGGGACGAGGCGAAACGGGGCAAAAGGAAAAAGGCAGGTAAAGTAGCAAAGAGAAGCCGACACGGTGCACAGCGGCGATATCTGCCAAGAAACTGGTGGCCGTGATGTAGCGCTCCACCGGGACTTGAGTTATGTTTCTCGAATTACCGTGGATATATGTCCATGAGTGAAGCACGCGAATTATGCCGTTGTCAAGACTTCTCCGCGCGCTTCGTCTGTTTCCGTTAATTCCTTGAATTCGATGAATATTTCGATTACGTAAAATTTTGTTGCTCATTGTGATAAATTATTCTATTCATCCACCTAGATCGGAAAGGATGTTTGAAGTTTCAGCGTTTTAAATAAAATTCTATATATTTAATAATGTCAGATGCTTTATAACGACTCGAAGAATCAGGTATATATGTATGTATGTACAATTAAATGAACCACGGAGTTATTCCGTGTCTTTTCTTCGGATCATCTCCGAGTAATGAATATCTTGGTCGTAGTTATTCTCAATTTATAATGCGGTGCAAAATGAAATATTCTTGCACTTTGATGAATTTTAAATTTGACATGTAGATTTTCCTAAGTTTTCTATTCGAATATAATATGGATGCATCTGAACTTTTATACAGTCGTTCGAGGGAACTTACATTCATATTTATACGTATTTGATCGAGTCCGTGAAGGAAGAGTACAGTAAGCTAATGGACCATAAATGTTTAGATCTGATCATTTCGTATAAAATAAGAAAACATCACCGCTGATTACTTTAAACGCGTAAAACGTCTGATAGTATCTTGGATCATTAACTATACGTGTAACCATTAAAGTGAATTACGACAGTACAACAATTTGCCAGTTACTAATAATTGCTTGGTCGTATGATCAGGATACCACGGGTAGAATATCCTTCTGATAAAATCTAAAATATGATGGCATCGACCGCTTTTCGTCGAAGTTATACATATGTAATCGCGTGTACCCACGCGCAGGTGCCGATCGAGAGTGGATCGATTTGCATTGACGATCCGCAGGATGCATGACTTTCGTTATTCTTCTCGAGCTTTTGGATGCTCTGAGAGAATTTTTTTTTTTAATGACCCACGTCATTAAATATGCAGAACGACTGAATTTTCTTTGTTGGGAATTATCACATAGCGATCAAGGATGATATTATTAAAGCTAGGATGAATATTTTTTAATGTAACCAACATTTGCAATTTTTTGAATTGACATGCAAATTCTAATGAAAACACTCGAACTTCGGATTAAATTGCTTTGTATCAGATTAATTATTGGAATTTAAGGGATTGCGAAGAGTCTGTGGTTCGGCAATGTTTTCTGCTACGTCTGGCTCCCCATATTTAGGTGCTTATTTTCATTTTGATGTTCTAGCATGAAAATTGAACCATCTATTTAAATTATTCTATAATTAGACGGAATTGTAATTACTTCGATGAAAGTGTGAAAATCGTTTGGTGGCAGAGAAAAATTTTCACTCAGGACCCACGTGTTTCCATTCGCCTTGATTTGCCGGTAACTCTCTTTTTCATTGTCGTCAAGGAAAGAGTCAAAAAGCTCGGTTGTGGGGAGATCGTGACAATGGACAATGGCGCAATAATCTACAATAGAGATCTGCTTGGAGATTCCGTGTCGAATGAATAGGGCACCTAGGACAATCATCTCGTAAACTTGGTTTCTTTGCATGCTCCTCCCCTATCGTTTCGCGGCGTGTGTTTCTCCGTTCCGTATTTCACGTTTCGTGATTCTGCGGACGTAGGAATCTGAATCACCTACTTATGCGGAGCTGCTCTAACTAAGGAAGTTCCTTCCCCGTGTGTTCCATGGGTGCAACGTGACCTACGCTACGCCTCGTCGTCTGTTAGTTCCTTAGATCACCCAGCGAGTTGCTTCTCGTCGTATGATACGTTAATAGTAAAAAGCAAGCGCAGTAGAGTTAACAAATCACACAATTTGCAAAATACCGAAATGCTTCTCGTCCCTCCCGGGGAAAGTTTAATTTAATTCGTTCGGGCTATTACGCCGTAATCGTTTCTCTTCCATCGCACGCGTTGCAACACGCAAGATTTTCCGTGAACAAACGCTATCAAGCGTTCCTCTCCACGAGAGATTCCTGGCTATCTTGAGATAACGATACTCCCTCGAAATGCGCGGAATGTGATTCGCACGAAAACACTTACGTAATTGGGCCCTTTCTGTTCTTTTACGTCCGATGTCAGGCCTGCAGAGATCTCGAGCATTCCTCGAATTTCTGGAAAAACAGCGCCGATGTCACGGAATACGC